CATACACGGCATGTTTGAAACAGCGTTTTGCTGCTGTTGTTCAGGAGCCATTTTAATGTATACCCTGCGAAGTCGATGACGTGTACGCGATCGAACAAATGCGAACTACCGAAGTGCAGATGTTTCGAGCTATCGAGTCTTTTATCTGTTGTTTCGTCTATGTCTAGACGTTGCATGATTTCGCTCTGACGTGTTTTGCCAGTACAACATCATTGAGCCCATGGAAGGAGATCCAGGACTTGCTGACGACGGGGCAGGCCAATCGCAGGTATCATAGTCGTAAATGTTATGCAGGGTAGTGCGTGAAGGCAGTTATCTCTTCCTGTGTAGCACGTGTGGACGTTTTGGCTTGTCATTTCTGTGCTGGCGGCAACTCTTGGCTCATCGTTCGTTTTTGGCTATAACGTCGGTGTGCTTAACTCACCTGAGATTGTAAGGAAGAGTCAGAAAATAAGTAAAAATGGTTTCGGCAATATGTTATCTTCTAGGTTATGACGCAATGGCTGAATTCAACTCTGCAGCACGGAGAAAACAGTAATACAACGATGACTAAAACCGAAATCTCCACTGGTTGGGCGATAATCGTGAGTCTGTTTCCCCTTGGCGCTTTATGTGGTGGTGTGGTTTCTGGATGTATAGTGGAAGTGCTGGGAAGGTAAGACGCAAATGATAAAATTATACAGCAAATGAATGAACAATACACCGTTTAATTATTCTGATAAAGCATATAGGCTACAGCCAATTCTAATGTGGTTACACCGATGGATCAGGTCTAACCCAAATGAAGTTGTGTTCTATGTAGTAAAATGGGTTGAAAATAAACGGTTGTAGCAAGGGTTGTATTTTAGTCCGTAAACCATGAATCGCTTTACCACCGGTCTGTAAAGCTTCTTAAAACATATCTCTTTCAAAGACAACTGTTCATATACCCAATATCTCATGTGGTTGCATGCGTATATTAGCCTGTTATACGGGTGATATCATACTATCGTCCAAAGGAGAATTTTTAACTGAGGGCAGCGTTGCCTCATCTTATCCCTACTTTCTGCATCCTGTGACCTTGAAATACAGAAAACGTGTCAGCGATTGTTCGTTTAAAATACTTTGTCGTGGCGCATCTAGGGTAAGTTCGAATCGACCCAATTTGGAGATGTACATCCGGAATGACATTTTGATAGTCGTTCGATAGTTCTTTTTACCATAGGCAAAATGAAACCGTTGAAGTACAATCTTGAATATTTAAGCAGCTTCTACTATTCTGCACCAAGAAGTCGTTTAATTATGCGTGATAGTGATAATCTTTGTATAGTCTGTGTCACCCTTATCCTTATCCAGTGGTTGCTGTCCTTTAGAATGGAATAAGGCCTATGCTATATGGATTCAGTGCCACAAGCGCTGCTGGAAGACCGAGATTAACGTCTTTATTTCACTGCCCAATTTTGACCAAAAAGTTGGTAATCATGATCAAGACAAACAATTAGATGGTAAAAGAAGTGCAGCTGTAGCCAAAAAAAACAGATGACTACAGTTCAAGCCAGTAGTGACAAATCAGAATTGGTAATGGGCAATAAGTTTGACCCAATATCGCAGACACGTCTGACACGTCCAAAATAAGATGATGGTTCTGGTCGCAGGGACGTGATCAACTTCGACGTATCTCTTCGACGACTGATCACGGTGAAACAGACTTTTCATTGTCGATGGAAATTTCTCAACTAATGAACATTGTATTGTTCAGTAATATTAGTTTACTATTACTGCAATATGTAGGAACTCTAAGCTTCATACACTTCGTATTTTGGATAATTACTGCACCCCGCGTATTAGAAAACGATATGGATATTAGTTGGAGTTAGCGGTTTCCTGCAAACTGCGGAGAAAAATGACCTACAATCGATACAGTTGGCAAGAATACTCAGAAACAACAACTGAGCATGTTTTTTTGGCTTGTGTGAATTTAATGTTTCTTCTTTCGATGTAGACCATTGGAATGCTTTTCAATTTTAGATACGAATAAATTTTGCTTAATATCAAGTTGAATTTATATCAGCGATGTTAACTTCAGGCATATTAATATCAATTCAGTCTAATGCTTCATTTACTGGAGAGCTCATATTTCCAGCTCAATAAGTGAGACCTGCCCGATGCATTTGTGTGTCCAAAACCGAAAGCCTAGTGCTTCACCTCTCCCCTGCATGTTTCACTTTCCATGCTAAACGGATAATCAGTGGAACAGGGTAATATTTTTTATATGTCTGAATCATGTGTCCGAGTGACGGAAAGGGAAAGGAAGTCAAGGATCAGTGAATTGGAACATTCAGTGGGATTATGCGTGAATGAACCGTTATGATTAAAGCACAGCTCAGTTTGAAGACCAAGCTGTGTCGCGAATCCTGAGCTATGACTGAAATCTTTGGTCTCAGGGTAATGAGCTGAAATGGGCTTTCTGAGAAGAATATCTGGGCTCGAGCGACTTCATATATCTTGGAATTCAGATATCCGAGAGAGCCTCGGTCTACATCCGCTGGGTCTGCAGATGAAGAAGTCACAGCTACCACAGCTTAAACATTCCCTTCGAATGCTTACGGAAAGTAAGGCGAAGATGTTACCAGTTGCCTAATGTGCCAAACAAAGATCCCGGAAAAGGAGGAGAATATACTGGGGTACCTTGTGTGAATGACTCTGCTCCAGAATCAGGCTATTTTATCTTGTAAAACAGTTATTCATTTAATCACAGAGCTTCGATCATAATCGGCTACTAAAGATGGATTCTGAGCGATCGAAAACACGAGTAAATCTGTGAAGTGTACAACTGTGTGAAGTAAACCCTTTGTTGACTACACTAGTTAAAAGTGGGCTTTCAGCCCACAGATTGTTTCCTGAGTATCAGGCTCAGTCTACAGACCGCGGTAATTAATTTAAAGCTTTGTAAACGTTTAACTGCCTGCTTTCCTTAATATGCATTTTATTTTTAGTCGAAACACGTTGCTGTTGAATAACATACCCTGTTTTCTGGGAGCGTTGTTAATGGCAATTTCGAAAGCGTGTGATACATATTTCCTGCTCATGATTGGGCGTTTCCTGATTGGAATAAATTCAGGTTTCCTAACTTTAGTGGCTGTTTATTCATCTACAGCTTCACATTTAGGCATCACGGCTGCTATATGTCCCATGTACTTAACGGAAATTGCACCCGTTTCTATTAGAGGAATAATCGGCAGCAGCAATCAGCTGACAGTAACGCTTGCAATACTTGTTTCGCAAATATTGGGCCTTCGTCAGATTTTTGGCTCAGCGGAATTATGGCCTGTGCTTCTTGGTAAATCACATCTCACGACCATTACCGTATTTTCCTACTGGCATGGTGACGCTGTGCATTGCTACGTGCATGTCTCATATCAGTATCCTCCTAGGGAGTACCTGCATTATGATTTCGAGATGGCGAGCGAGGATTACAACTCATTTGGAATGAACGGTTCATATATGCATTACAATTCATTTATCGTATCCTCTAATTCTGAACAGCAGAAGTGTATCACATGCAAGCAGAAACTACGTGCCCCTGCTGGAATGTGACGTTAATCATTGACTGATGCGATGCGAACTTCACTTCATAATACTCCACTATCCATGACAGCTTATCCCGTTAGGTTGCTGAAGCATACGCATCAGACAATGCTTCCAACGGTCCGGATTCTCTGCCAGTCTATGAGCTTTCTGAAGATCACAACTGTAGTGGAGAGCAGGCTTCTTCAACGCTAGGTCAACGCTCGGATAGCCGCATATTTTCCTTCCAGCTACGTTCTGATATTTTTCAACTTTACTGGATATTAGATATTATCCAGTTCTCGCGTATAGAAAAATGGAGCCATAAAATTAATCGCAAAATCTGAGAAGTTGTATTGTTTGGCAGAGGCTTCAGATTGTGCTCACGGACAGCTGCTTCCGGTGATATACGACGTGCTGGGTTAGATGTTACAGTTGATCTAGATGGCAACAGTTCAATGACACAGAACCAAGCGCGTTGCACATTGATACAGACTATCGATCGGCGCTGAAACATCCAAGCCGAATCCCCATAGATCGTCCACATCACGACGAGGGCTCAGACTGGTATTTGTGTTCTTGTTGAAGCAAACCTGGCTGATGGAATCTTTGAACTAGGCCTATCAACGGTAGGGTAGCAATCCTGAGACTGAAGCTGTAACAGGCTAAAGCGTTGACTTGGTACAGGTCTCTTCAATTGATTTCGAGGGAGAATATTACTCCTTCCATGAGAAAATGGAGTGTGCTCTGTACGAAGTGCCTATTGCGGAGTCAGCGCATTCATGGGCGACTTGAATGGGCACATCAGAGTAGACACTGAAAAGTGGAAAGGCCTGAGTGGAACCAAACATCCTAGCAACCTCAACAATAACTGCATGAAGTTTCTGCAGTTTAGTGCAAAGACGGACTGCCTTGAACACTTTGTTCAGGTGTCGTAGCTTGCATGAATATATCTGGTATAGGAAAGCCTGTGTAGGGAAATGGATGATCGATTTTGTAAAGGGCAATCACAGGTGATCGACTTGAGCAAATCGTGCATTGGCACGATCGACTACGTTGTTTGCACGTAAGACTGATCCTACCTACCCGTGCAATCGGAA